GTACAGTCAACAGCACATCAAGCTGTAAACTTTTGTCCGAATATCGCCTCAAGAGCAACGGAACAAAATTCGTCAATGCTTGCTTGATTTCCTACCGTCTGTATGAAATAAAAAACCTGAACCTTCGTATTTTAACCAGTAAACATAATTATCCAATCACTAATATGTAGGTTTAAGTATATTATGTATATAATTTCATGTTCATTGATTAAAATATGATGGTTCATGTTTTTTTTCAATATTTCAGACAACAGGAGTTTAAAAGCAGTAGGGCGAGATGATCTCCCTTTAAAACTTGTTGATCATAAAACAAGGTCAAATTACAGAACTAAACACTGATAATATTGGTAGTGACATACTAAAACGTAAGCAAAATTGTAAATTTGATATACCATGTGAGTGCTTTCCATTGGATTATTTAAAAAGACTTTGTGTTAGGTTTAGAATAGACCATTCAATTAAAAGGCACAAGAAATTATTGAAAAACAAAAATTATAGAAAAAAATATTTACAATAAGTAATTACAATTTGTAATAAAGTATGCTGTCATATCATAGTTTTGTTTATTTAATTTTATCCTCCTGTGCCAACCCTACCAAAATAGGTATAAATTTTGAACTCTCTTTAGAAGCTTTGTCTCCGTTCCTTTTCGTTACTCATGTGCCTTAGTAGTGGTCCCATTTAAATTTGAAGAAAATATTCGGCCGTTTATTGGTCATACTAGCTTGACATTGTCAGTATTAACAACCTGTAGGCGTGCGCTTTTGCTGGCCATCTCTAAAGATGGCAAATTAGGAGATGAATCCGGTTTACTAATTTTCACCCACTTTCCGTTAACCGATTCCAATAAAACTTGGCGAATAGATGTAATTCCATAAACTTTTGAGATTGGCTTGTTTTTTAACCGACTTCGAAAAATGAGGAGATTCTCAATTCGCCTGTATGTTCTTTTGTATGTATTTTACGCGATAACTCTGGTATTTGTGAACCGATTTTGATGATACTTTTTTATTGGAAAGAGGGTATCGTATTGGTCCCATTTAAATTTGAAGAAAATAATCCGTCTCTAAGGCTGACAAACCAGGGGATCAGTCCGGTTTCGCGCACTTTCCGGTAAGCGATTTCAATGAAACTTGGCAAGTAGATGTGAGGTGTCGATAGGTAGCAATGAAACGACTGCACTACTGCGTAGCTAGTTTATTACTGGTTTTGTCGGTAGTTGTACAATGACATATATACCATCCCTCCCGCATTACTTTGGAAACCTGCCAACAATATACAATATATAACAATATACCATACAATATACCTAAGCAATCGAAATATAACATTTGCATAATTAAAAATACGGCTTATAATTAAATCTTGTCTTAAGTCTTCTAGAACGACCCACCGGCTCAACTACTGAATTGCTACTAACTTCATCGCCTAACTCGGAAGTAACTTGGTCGGACACATGACCTTCGGTCTGTACAGTATCTCCAGCCTCTATTACGTCACTAGCTTCCACCCACTCCTCAATTTCCGCTTCTGTTCCTTCTATATTTTCGTTATTATTATTATATTCGCCTTCCGTGGTTACCACTGCTTCATTTTCCTCAGTGGCAACTGACGAAGGTGGAGAATACGCAGGGGTTGCGTCTGCGGAACAACACTCCCGCTGCGACGCTTGTATAGACTGATCTGTAATAGGAATGAGCGGTTGCGTATCGGAGGCACCTTGTAAAGATTCACTACAACATACTGAACTTGGGCTCCGACCAGTATACTTTCGAATTTGATCGACATGCCTCTTACATTTTTCATTGACATCTTTAAATAGAATTTCAAACATTCGATTACCCTTAACACTAATTATTAATCCAACTTTCCAACCGGTTCTACACGTGAATCTAAAAACATGAATGACCTATCTCCCTCCTGTTCTAACTCATCATTAATAGATTGTTGTAACGGAGCGCGGGAGAAATAATCTGCGACTTGATTATTTTGTCCACTTACATATTGTACTGTATAGTTATAAGCTGACAATAAAACTGCATATCGCTGCAAACGCAACGCGGCGGTTACGGAAATTCCATTCTTTTTGCCAAATATAGATATTAACGGCCTGTGATCGGTTTTCAATACAAATGGTTTTTGCCTACCATATAGGTATTGGTGAAAATGTTTAACGCCGAAAATGATTGCCGTAGCCTCTTTTTGAATCTGGCTATAATTTCGCTCGCTCGCCGATAGCGACCGCGAGGCGAACGCGATCGGGCGCTCGCAGCCCTGCGCATCGAATGTGGCGAGCACAGCGCCGAGACCTCCCGGGCCCGCGTCCACAGCCAGCGTGAGCGGCGCTGCCGAGTCGAAGTGCGCCAGCACACGCTCGCTGGCTAGTTCGCGCTTAATGTTGTCGAATGCCTCCTGCTGCCGCTCACCCCACTTCCATTCAACGCCACCACGCAATAACTCGTGTAGAGGACTTAGCATAGATGAGGCGTTAGGCACAAAATTTCTATAATAATTTACTACGCCTAGAAACCTTTTTATCCCTAAAATATTTTCAGGCGCCGGCGCTTTAATTATAGCATCTACCTTTTTTGGACAAGTTCTTAGTCCGCTCCTATCAATAACGTAACCTAAGTATGTAACGTAGTTTTGGAAAAATACGCACTTGTCTTTTTGCAACCGTAACCCTGACTCATTCAACCTTCTTAACACCTCTTGTAACCTCGTCAAGTGAATTTCTTTCGTCGGACCTGTGATGCAAACGTCATCTAACCATATACTCACTCCGTCTAACCCTGACAGTAAAGTTTCCATAGCCCTTTGGAAAATAGCAGGTGCATTGGCCAATCCATAGACTAACCGAGTATACGAAAACAGACCTTTATGAGTGTTGATTGTAGTAAGTCTTTGTGAAGATTTAGTTAACCTAAATTGGTTGTATGCGTTGCTTAAATCAATTTTCGTATATTGTAGCCCCCCTCCTAATTTTGAAAAAACCTCCTCTATTCTAGGCAGTGGGTATTTGTCTATTTTAAGATCCTTATTAAGCGTGCAGGAAAAGTCACCAGCGATTTTCGATTTTCCATTCTCCTTCAACACTGGTACTATCGGGGTGGCGTAATCTGAATGGTTAACCGGCACTAAAATACCTAATGTTACTAATCTGTCTAATTCAGCACTCACCTTATCTTTCAAGGCAAAAGGTACTGGGCGTGGCTTAAAAAACTTAGGTTTAGCATCATCCTTTAACTGCAATTCAACGTCGAATTTAGTAAAACAACCCAACTCGTCTTTCCAAACGGCTGGATATTGATTTAATAGGTCCCGGATCTCTTTGACACTATCGACATCTACACTTTGAATGCTGTGATTTTCGGTGGTTAAATGCAATTTAAATTTTGACATGAAATTACGCCCTAAGAGGGGGGGTCCCCCATTAGCTATAACATAAAATCGTATAACTTCCGTTTTATTTTCATAAAAAACTTCAGCAAGAAAATAACCAAGGGGCGTGACTTGATGGCCAGTATAAAAACACATTTTTAGATTGTCTTTATACAATTTTAAGGAACAAAATTGTTGAATATATAAATTCTCGGATATGACTGAACAACCAGAACCAGTGTCCAACTCCATATTCATCTGAACTCCACTCACATTGACCGACAGCCTGAAAGGTTTACTATTTACGTACCTCATATTAAACATTTGACACTCCTTACAATCCTCACATTCCTGAGATTCCACTGTTTCCGTACCGATATTATGTAACTTAGCTTTATTACCACTGCACACTTTTTTAAGGTGACCTTTTTGTCCACAACTCTGACACTTGTAGTTTTTAAACCTGCATCTTGTCACATCATGATTGTTTAATCCACACACTGAGCATCGCGTAGCTCCGGCGCCGTCGTCCCGGCGGGTTCCGCCGCCTGCGCCGCCACCACTGCCGCCGCGGCGCGGGCGCTCAGCACGCGCTGCGGTGCGGTACACGGCCTCCTCCTTGACGACCGGCGTGCGGGCCTGCCTGGCGCACGCCGCTTGCTGCGCCACTTCAATAGCTTTCGCGAGCGTCAATGTGTTACAATCATTCTCGAATAGCCGGTCTCGTTCTGTTCCCAAGTTGAAACCGAGTACGAAACGATCTCGAAGAAGTACGTCCAGTTCCGTTCCGAAATCACAATTAATAGCTAGCCCGCGTAGTCGAGCTGCCCAGTCTTGACTACTTTCCGTCACTGATTTCGTGGCTTCAAGGAACTTGGCTCTGTCTGCGAAGGTTGACCGTTTCGGAGTAAAATGCTGGTTGAGTACTTGAACTAGCTGAGCGTATGATTTAGCTTCTAGTTTATCTGGGTGCACAAGATTCCGAACCAGGCGGTAAGACTCATCCGACAAATGAGTTAATAATACCGCACTTGCACTATCGTTCGAAATACTGTTTAACTTAATAAACTGTGTTAATCGCCCGTAAAAAACGTCCCATTCTTGCACACTATGATCGAAAACTCCAATATTTCCAATAACTTTGTCCATCTTGCTCACAAAAAAAATTGTGGGTAAAATCCGTCCTTGTCGCCAGATGAGGTGTCGATAGGTAGCAATGAAACGACTGCACTACTGCGTAGCTAGTTTATTACTGGTTTTGTCGGTAGTTGTACAATGACATATATACCAAGATGTTATTTGACGAACTTTTGAGGTCGGTTTTTTAGTACTCTGTACTTACATTATGACATTTGCTGTACCCTTACTGGGTCCATAATGGCTTAATCTATGTTATTATTATTAGGGTGGCTTCATCACTGTGACCATTAACTGATTTATTATGATCTTTAATCTATATCACTTACCGCCATGTATGTAATATGGTACGCAATGAAGTATTGAGCATTGAGAAGTAAATTTTGCGTTACGAACTTGCCGCCACTAGTGAATAATAACCGCGGGTTTCGACTTTCGCCACAAGACATTTATTTTGAATGTTTTCCGAAATGTAATGGCAGTGAAGAAACAAACGTTCGCGGACGTCGACAAGAGGGTGTTCCTCGACTTGTTAAAAAAGTACCAAAAAGTAATGGACAACAAGAGATTGGACTATGAGACGATGCGCGAGAGGAACGTCGCGTGGAACCGTATCACAGCCGGAATACAACCACAATCCGTCCACCATGACTCGGGTAAATACTTTCATTTTTATTATATCCAACTGCCGTCTGTCCCAAAGTGAGGGAAGGCACTTGACATCATGTACGATAAATATAGATTTAGGGTACCTATAGAACGTAATTTAATACTGTTTGCTGATGATACTTCCTTATTACTTAAAGTTAAAAGGCACCAATGTGCCTATGACGATGTGAATAATTCTATATCTAAAGTTTTAGATTGGTTTGCTGTTAATAACCTGCTCCTTAATGAGGACAAAACAAATTGTGTGAAATTTACGTTGGCCAATGTTAGACAGACAGACACAAACATTGTAGGAGAAATCGACCAAGCGCATAAAGGCACATCATCGCCGTGTTGCCATTTTGTAACGTAAGTACATGGGTGTTTTTTTCACGATAAAGTTTCGCTTGCTCTGCTCGTCGCTGTATGCTTAGTTCAAAATGGTACTATTCTGCAATACTGCAGTGTAAAGGCAGCGAAATGAAACGTGGAACGCGTGGGTCGCGACGCTTCGACTCTGCGCTAGTGTGAGTTGAGCCTTGAGCCATACGTTTGATTTTTTTCATTTTTTTTACGGTTGCGAAGTGGTGTTTTTGTGAAATTATTTTTTGTTTTTGTATTTTTTCAGTTATAAGAATATTGAAATATTTAATGTTAGCCATTGTTTGTTAATTTTCACCTAACTTGTTTAATAAGACTGAATTCCAGAATTGGAATGTCTTATGAAGGACCTATGCATAATTTGGAAGGAGACTGATTATATCGTGTAGGTAGAGTTTAACCATTGTAACGAGTTCAAGTGTAATAATGTTTACTTGTGAAATAAAGATTATTTTGAATTTGAATTTTAAATTTGTGTTATGTTGGATCTCAATTACCTATCGAAGATGTAAATCGTAAATAAAAAAATTCGGGTTATTCGGATTCGCTGCAATATCCGTTTTCGAAATCCAGATTTAAAATATGGCCCGACTCTGCTTTCTCTAATCCAGATCAATTCCACTGAAGATGTGTCGGATAAAACCCCACGGTGGCCTTCCCGGGTGCTCTAGAGGGATATCAATTCTCTCCTGATGCATCTTAAGCATCAGGAGAGAATTGATATTTTATCCTTGTCTTCGCCTCGTCTCGCCCCGCCTTGCCGGTGGAGCAGTACCGTCAAGATGCTTATCGAGTTTTTGCGATTGTTACACTCTTTAAATTATTTTTAAACGACTTCAAACAAAGAGGAGGTTCTCAATTCGGCTGTATTTTTTTTGTATGTATGTTACGCAATTTGTGAACCGCCTTTGATGATTCTTTTTTTGTTGGAAAGATAGCACCTCCGTGTTGGTCCTATTTAAATTTGAAAAAATATTCCACCTCTACTGGTGGCAAACTGGGGGCGATTTCGCGCACTTTCCGGTAACCGATTTCAAAAAAACTTGGCAAATTGATGTAATTCCACGGACTTTAGAGGTCGTTTTTTTTTACAAAAGTTACAACTTTTCGGATCTAAATCGTGAGTGTTTGTATTTTCAATGTGGCTACATTTTTCGTCCTGGAGAAAAGTATCGAGTCTCAAACCTCACTCTCCGAAACAAGCACTCGGTGCGATCTAGAAAATTCCGACGACGAAAAACGACACCTTCAAGACTATTTCAAAAGTAGATTTTAGAATTATTTTATCAACAAAGTGGAAGCTACGACCATCTATCGACATTGTCACTCCTTGAGGAACTAGCGACAGTAGACAGGAATTTATGCAGCACTAATTTATGTTACGCGAAGTCACAGAACTCAAGATTTTCAAAATTAAACGAAGAAATAAGAAAAAATCTATAGCACTTAAGAAAATTAAGACGGCGAAGTTAAATTTACACAAGCAAAAGATGAAGATGGCCGAACAGGTGAAAGATCTGAAGCTGGATCTTCAATTAAGAACTGAAGACCTACTTACTTCTCAAAAACAACTGGAGGAACTTTCAGCTGCAACCAATGACCTTTTGAAGCTGGGAACTGAGTATAGAGAACGTAGGACTCAAGTTCTTCTACAGGATGAGCTTAGTGACAACGACGAACTAGTTGAGGTAAAGCAGACTCCATCCCCACTGCCTACATCGTCAACACAACCAGCACGAGCATCGTATGCCAGTGTTGCTGCCAGGAAACGAAACTGTTCCAGTGCAACTGATGAAGTTCAATGCCCTTGTCATGCAACCAAGACTAGCAGAACTCCCTCCAGGCCATTCAGAAGAACGGTTGTTTTCTCGGATAAAATAGGTAAGTATAGGACTAGGCCACCATCTTACTAACCACTTACAGCAAAGGGTAGTCAACTATTGTTACCCAGGAGCCACTTTTAGTCAAATTATCACACTATTAAGCGGTCACAACTTCGATAAATACACAACTGTGATTCTTATTCTAGGCAATAGTAATAACATCAGTAAAAAGGACATAAATACAGGGTGGGCCAAGAATTCGTTAACATTTGAAAAAATCGTATAAAAAAACATTTGGCATATTTTAAAAATTGTTTATTTACAAGAAAGTAAATTGTAATTTATTTTCTAAAAATAATATCATCTAACTGACCACCGTTTCGTCTTTTGCACTCTTCTAAGCGAGTACCGAAATTTTCGAATACTCGGCGGCAAAGTAACCGCGAGATCGCCGACATTTCTTCGCTGATTTTTTCTTTTAATTCACGTAGTGTTTTTGGTTTATGAATGTAGACACGACTTTTTAAATAACCCCATAAAAAGAAGTCTGCTGGGGATAGATCTGGACTTCTAGGTGGCCATGGGATTTCGGCTGATCTGCAAATCAGCTTTTCCGGAAACATTTCGAAGTTCGAGTGTAAATTCCTGCTAAGTGCATTCCCTTACTGCTCCAATTTAGACACTACTCATAATGACTATGTACATAACGTAAATTCACATTTTTACAAACATGCCGTCATATTGACGTTATTTTTTGTTTTGACATCAATAAGTTTGTAAGGAATTTTACACTTTTTGAGAATAATTTACATTTACCCCTAAGGTATCTAAGACATATTGCTAGTTTACAAGCTTTCAATATTAAGAACGCTGTTATAGAAGATATAACACAGTTCCACGACAATGCTCCTACTCTAAGTAGCAACATTATACTTACTAACCATAATTTAAACTAGTAAATACGACAACAGAAACGTCTAATCATTTCTATATAGTACTTCAAAACATTCAGGGGTTTTCAGGAAACATTAGAAATAAGTCTTTTTTTTACACGATTTTCCCGTTGACGTTTTGTGTAAAATAACACTGTTCAACCAGTGTTATTTTACAACACTGGTTGAAAGACTACGAAGCAATTAACAACGTAGAAAATTATGTAATAGTCAGTTCGTTCATAAGAAAGAACTTAAGTAGGGGCGGATCAATGATTATTATTAAGCGTAAGTTAAAATTTAAAGAGCGTAAGGATATCACAGATCTCTCTATTGAACGAACTTTTGAAATTTCATGTGTGGAATTGGATAGTTTGTCGTCTTATGTGTGTACAGGCCCCCTTTGCTAATTTCAATGCGTTTGAATTAACCATGGAAGATAGTCTAAAACGGATTTTAACAACCAAAAAAACTATATTAGTATGTGGAGATTTCAATGTACACCTGTTAAACACTACAAAATCATTAAATTCCTCTCCTTCTCTTGCTATTGATCTCCTAAAGAAAAATGTTAGTGTTTGTGGCAGTGTATTTAATTTTCATCATGTTAATCCAAAAGACATCAACAAAGCTTTTAAATCTATACATGTTAAAAAAACTGAAAATCTCTGGGGCATATCGACTAAAGTTATAGACTCAGCGGTAGCACAATTGATCCTAGCAAATATAGGCCTATTTCAATTCTACCAGTTTTAAGTAAAATATTCGAAAAGGTTATGTTGAGTCAATTACTGTCTTATTTCAGTAGGAATCACTTTTTTCATAGTGAACAATATGGGTTTACTAGTGGTAGATCGACTAGCGATGCAGGGGTAACGCTACTAAAAAATATATTTCATGCTTAGGAAAGATCCCAAAACTCCGAATACTCCGAAACAAAACAAAACTCCGAATGTCACAATTGTTATGGACAGGCGTTTAGCTTACCATCAAGCGCACGACTTGTTCGTCCCATCACTTGATATTATATATTTAAAAAACGAATGGGTGAGTGTTTGTTTGAAAAAAAAAGAAGTACACGCTATCCGAATAATAGTTTTTTTAGTTCCTAAAGTTGCTGCGTCGAGCTTCTAACCAGACCTTGTATGTACTCTCGTTCTGCTCCGAAATAATTACTATCAAATAAGTATTTTACAATAAAATTCCGGGGCATATATTAAGATTATCCTTTCGTAAGTTTAAAAACTACATTAAATATATTTTGGTTGAAAAGGCATATTACAAAATTGAAGACTACGTGTTAAATAGAGATATATGGAAAGACGACATGAGTCTTAATTCCACACTGGTGTTGGGTAGGACATGAAATTAAAATGAGTTGGATTAGTTTTGGATTGGCGGTACAATGTCCTACTTCAAATGAGGTGAGGCAGGCAGTGGTAAGAATGTTTGCACCTACGGCAATGAGTCAACAGACAGGGAATATTAAGCACATTTTCATAACTTGATGGTATCAGTCCATTATAAATAAATGTTAATTTGATTTAGTACTCTGGTGGCATGATCATATGATGTAAAGTCAGCTAAAAACCGGACAGTGCAGGACCAATCATTGTTGCATTTGTTGAATTCGAAGCAGTGTAACATAAGTGAGGCTGTGACATGAGGCTATGACATGAGGTGAGGTGTGAAGTGGGACATTTTAATGACATGAGTACAAGTGAGTTGCCTCGTGTATGAGTAGTAACTCGACACTATTCCGCACAATTATGACTCAAAATGTATTCCATAGCATTTAAGTTTATTTCAAAAGAGCCATCCCTAGTTTCGTGCTCGTTCTTCTCAGAGAGGTCAGCATAGTGAACGAGCAAT